AATGTATTTGGTGTCTGCATTTTTTATCTCCTGCAAACAACATCTGGAAACAGTGCATAGAGATGGTGTTTGCAAGCCCAGCTTGGGGCATTTAAATCAGAGGTCTCTTGTTTTCATGTGCCTGATCACATCAGCATCACCTCGCATCATTCTGCTCCATGTAGTGCCTACACAGTACCTGTCAGCGACTGTATTTGTCACATACCATCTTCATAATCAGGTAAACTAAAGCCTATCAAGTCACATAAATTAAAGCCTATAATCAGATCAATTAAAGCCAGGAAGGCATTTCTCCTCTCAGAATTCTGCATTACCAGTCATCACTGCCCAATGCTGCTAAGAAAACTCTTTCGATGCCCTGGAACAATACTCTGGGGGAGCTGCACACCTGCTTTTAAGGGCCAGCATACCTGTAGAAAGGATTATATTGATTTTATGCAGTTTTATTTGGACAAGTAAATGAAGGTGCTTATTTGCCAAATACAAAATAGAGAAGAACACAGCATTCAAAGGTTTAAAAGACAGAAGCATGCAGAAATGAGATGGTATCTGTATTAGCCTGGTGTACAACATAAGCTTAAAAGCCCTGTGTGATTCAGCCAGTAAGATGCTTGAGGCATCAAAATCTTTTATCCTCATGCAGCCATTGCAGCACTGGGGAGCGTGGCTAGGAGGGAGTCCTGCACCAGGACATGTTTCTTTTTTAATGCTGGAAGAGATTCTTGTCTTGGGTGGAGATGCAAGTAACAGATTCCTCCTGTCCCCAGGAGGGTGTTTCAAATGCCCTGTTAACATGCAGGCTAAATAAATGCAAGCATCCCCTGGGCAGATCTGGGTGTGAGTCTTGTAGTCAGGCTTATTTCAAGCCAGGTAATGAGCTTTCCCGGGCCTGGTTAACCAATTAAGCAATGGATAATGGTGCCGGGAGACAAGACTGTCTGCCGCTGTCAAACTTGAAGTAAATGCAATATATTGGGTCTTTTGTTTCATGCTGGAACGTGAACCAAGAGTTGTATTTTAAACATACCACTAATAACTTGCTCTTAATTCCCACCAATGCTAATGGGAACCAAATAGCTCGCAGCGGAACTGGCTGTAGGGTGAGCTACAACCGCGGCAGCTCTGGTTTCTGGGCAGCAGTGGGAGGTGACCCCCTCACAGGGAGGCTGCTGCTGCTGCTGTCGGCTGTCGGGCGTCCCGGGGACGGGGTTTGCAGTGGCGTGGAGTGGCCGGCACCCTCTGCACGGAGCAGCCATTTCAGTGGCACAAAACAGCCACCTTGTTCCCGAGTCCCTGCTCCAGTGAGGTTTCTTGGGAGACAAGAACGTAGTTTTTTAATTCTTGCGTGATCCTTTATTTTTGCATTATAAGAATTTTATAGATGGAGAATTTGAAGATGGAGGATGTTGTTTGATATTACTTCATTTGTACATAACTGGACTTTCATTGTCTTATTTGTTGCTACATTTTAAAAAATACAAAATGTGAAAGCTAGAAGCCTTGCTTCCTGTGGATTTTAACTTACTTTGATTATGGAAGGAAGAGAAAGTACCATGGGTATAACCAATTGATATCTGCTGGAATCATACCTCTATCATTATTCTAAATATTAATTTTTCTGGTTTTGACTGAAGAGCCACAGGAGTTAAAATTAAGCATCATAATTAAAAATGGCATAAACTGCATTTTGACTTCTGTGGCACGCTACGTACTGGTCAGTTTGTACCTACTTGAAGTGGAAAGGGAATCTGTGCACTGGTACTTTATACCTGGATAAAGCATGAGATGATAATTTCCAGGGAGGAATGCTGGTTAACTCTGGCATCGTGGATACATCTCAGAGCAGATTAGTTTAGAGTCAGGTCTTCATAAAGCATTATTGAGACTTTGGGCATAATACAATGTTTTAAAGAAGAAACGCAGGGATATATTCCCTGCGCAGAAATGCTGTGATGAACTAGAGCACAGAAAAGATGCCTGCCATTACAGGCTACTTGAGCTGCAGAAATTAATTACAAGTATGTTCCTAGTCTGCCTGTGAACTCTGGTTTTCCTTAATAATATCATTATTGATTTTTCTGCTTGCTGAGTCACAGCAGTAGTTTACACTGCCATTGAACTGCCACTGGTAATCTACTTTCCCACCAGGCCCCAGTGTAACTCTTAAACAGGACCTGAAACTTGAAGCTTAATCATAAATAATTGCATTAATAACAAAAGCTCTAATGCGTTAAGAGTTTAAAAATAAATTCAAATGAGGAAAAAATAATTTGACACCAGATTGTATTGTTCCTGTGCTGCTCTTCGCTTTCCTACCCGTTTTGCTTTTCTGGTCTCGCAGGGGAATTATTAAGAGAAGTCATTGTTATGGGGTTAACTAAAAGGGTTTTATTAATGATCAAATGGTAATTAATTGATGACTGAATGAAAATCAAATGGTAATCAAATGCTGATTAAGCAATAATTGAAGGTTAGTTAGTGATTTGATGATGATTTAAATGATGATTTAGATGGTGATTAGACAGCGGTCAAACACTCTACTACTTACTACACTTCTAGTAATAGCTGGATATATAAAAGTCGCTAGCTTAATGTAAAACATCGCTTACTTCGTTATAGATAGCAGATGCTGGGTCGGGGTCTCTCAGCCTGGGGGTGTAACCCAGAGAGGTGTCCCTGCTCAAGAGGAGATCACCGCCCTGCAGCCCTGCTGCTGTACAGGAGAGCTCAATGGGCTCAGGGGGGGCTACAAATTTTTATAGCGTAAAGTGATCGACTCGTAGCCAGCCGAGTGTAGGTGTAGGTGCAGCTGTAGCAGCTTTGATTATGTCTAGTCTCAGCTTGGACCGATACCCTTAACTCCTGGTAGGACGTGGCCCAGACTCCTTGGTTCCTGAGATGATGCACAGTTCTCAAGGTTTGCACAGTAGGGCTGATTTCAGTCAGGCCTTCTTGTCGGTGATGCCTGAACCAAAGCGCTGCTCACCCATGCAGAGTGGGGGCATCCATCACACCTGGAGGGAGACGTGTAGGCCAGAAGGACACTGGTTGTTGGTGGAGAAGCCTGTGCTGTATCTCGGCTGGCACAAACACACCAAAACTCTTGCGTGGGCATGGAGATGGGCGTTGGGCAAGCCTCTGCCTGCTGGAGCAGGAAGGGCTGTACTCCTAACGAAGGCAGCCACTGGTGCAGAATGCAGGAGTTAAAACCCTTCCCCCCCTGAAAGTCAAATTACTGTGACATGGGTTCAGCTTTTGCAAAGGTTGAGTTAGGAATAGGTGAAACGACAACACTCAGCGGCGCTGAACCCCACAGATCAATACTTGGTCCTTCAGCAGAGGAGGACCAGGTTGGGGAACGTATTTAAACAATGTGGGCTTACAGAAGTCCGTGGGAGCTGGTGATGCACCCTTGGGTGCGGGGAGAGCTGGCAGGTGTCAGCGTGAGGCCACTCTCAATTCTTTGTGAATGGTGGTGGTGATCCCGGGGCCTGGACAACAGCAAACATCACTCCTGTCTTCAGGAACAGCAAGGAGGATGAGGGAAGCTGGAGGACGGCCAGCCTCACCACGACCCCTGGGAAGGTGATGGAGCAAATAGACCTGGAAACCATTCCCAAACATACAAAGGACAAGGTAGCTGGGAGTAGTCAGCATCGATTTACAAAAGGAAAACCAAGCTTCACCAGCTGGCTCAAGGGCTGGGCCCAGGGGCTCACGATCAGCTGCACAATGTCCAGCTGGAGGCCAGTCACCAGTGGTGTACCCCTGGGGTTGATACTGGGGCCAGTGTTGTTTAATGTCCTCATTAATGACCTGGGGAATGGGCCCCCAGCATGTTTGCAGGTGATGGGCAGCATCCTTCCACCGCTTCCGCCCTGGACATATTTTGCTGATCCATCCGTAAGCTAGGCGCACCGTCACTGCTCAGGGGGGTGTGCGTACGGCAGGGCTGCCGGAGCCCAGGCAGGGGGTAGCAGCCTTCTTTCACCTTTTCGCCTCAAACTCCAATGCGCAAGATCATGTCCCAAAACGAGGACACCCAGCTCAGAAGGTTTGTGAGGCTGCTTAGGTCCCAGCACAACTGCAGGGCAGACAGTGTGCTGGGCTTGTTCAAAAGCTCTTTTTTCATCTTGCCCCCATACAAACTGGTTCCTCTTTCTCACTGCATTATACAGGGGCCTTAAAACCGGTGCTTAGTGTGGGATAAACTGGTGCCAATACCCCAGTAATCCTACAAGGTGCTGCACAGCAACCTTGGTTTGGGGCTCAGCTGTATGAAGTTTTGTTTCCGTAATCCAGCAGGCTCCTTGCCAGATGATGCCTAAAAATTGCACGTCAAGTGCTCCTACTCGTTTCCCAACCATGCCCTCACACGGGGCCCCCCACACTGCTCAGTGCCTCCCTGCCATCCTGCTGGGCAGGTCCTGTCAGCAGAATGCCATCAATATAAGGGAGTGGGTGACACACTGGGGACAGGCTGCCCTCCTCCTCCAAGGGCTGAGCCACAACCCCGTGACAAATCGTGGGGCTGTGCAGGTATCCCTGAGGCAGCAGCTGGTGCTGTTTGAAGGCTACAGGCTTTGGCGGGGGGGGCGACTCACCCCCCCCTGCCACAAGCTTTGGAATATTGTTGTCCCAGTGATAGAGCCACATCCCCGTCTGGCTTTCCCACAGCACCCCCTAGCAAGAAAATTACGCCAGGTATAAAAGGTTCCATACCAAGACTGAAAGTTATGTGAATAAACACCTTGCTCCCAACATTAGTCATGTTACAGTTGTACTGGAAGAAATATCTGTGCCTCTAAATAGCATGACAGGCCTTTTCAGCTACAGCTATTCAATTATTTTTCTGTCCTTTATAGAGGAAAATTAACTTTTGTAGTACAGAGGCAGACACTACACCTCTTCTCACATTCATTCTCACTAATGGTTCTAACTGACACTTTGGAATCATCAGTCCTGGCAAACTATCCGACACCTTTATTTCCAATTTCATTGTTCATTTGTGATACAAAAGTCAAACTTCCACAAATAGTTCTTCAGAAGAAAAAGCTAAGTGATTTATACATAAACAATTACATACAGCATTTATAATGGCAGTACAAAATGTACACTGTTTGGCTGAGATACAAATTGCGTATCATGCCAAGATTTAAACAGGTGTTAACTATATAGACTAGGGCTGATGGTTACATTTCATAGAGACAGTTGTAAGTACTGCCTTCAAGCACAGAAAAGATAGTTCTGAAATGCGGTACTTGTCTCACCCTCCGTCCCCAACTTCTCGTTTCAGGTTTGGGGGAAAGACTTGGTCCTTCTCTGTATTCACAGAACAGTTCTGAATTCATCAAAAATGAAGCTAGGCACATGGGCTTCAACAACCTGAAGTAAACAGGAAGGTAGAGTTTGGTATTGTCTTCGTCATTTGTTCGTATGCTCTATTCATCCATTAACAAGCATACCTGATCTACGAATCAAGCACACAACACTATTGATCTGAATCACCCTGGCTTTAGGATGCTCTCCTGGATGTGCTCTTGCTTGGTGCACACAGGAAGGAAGGAAGGAAGCCCACGTCAGGCAGGCAAGGCCAGCCCTGAGCTGGGAGGAATTGCCGGGAGCAGAGGTACGGTGTAAGCCTGGAGGAACGCTGACACCCTCCCTCCTGCTTCTCCACATAGCACCAGGCTATGGAAGTGGAAGCTGGCACAGGTACCAGACACTTCAGCTGCAAGACTGACACAAGGACTTTCTACTACAGTGGACGGTGGGCTGGGAAGAAGAGAGAAACTGGAAGAATCTCTCTCTCTCAGTTGTATTAGCTGGGAAATGGCTTATTCAAGCATCATTGAGGTATAGCCTATAGCAAATGGGATTTTGACTTATTTTTAATACCACATATAAATATTATCTTCAAATGCAGTTATGTTGCATTTAACCCTAAAACAAAGTCTTTCTACAAGCCCAGACTTTCAGAACTTCCCTTGCATGTGAAATAAAGCAGCTGCCTGGGAGGCGACGCTTTGGTAGGAAGGGAAGGGAAGGAAATCAAGGACTGGAGATGGTGTTTCACCAAAATTTAGGCTTGCGAATTAACCTTTTGCCCTGCATTTAGGATACTGTGATCTTTATTATTACTTAACTCTGCAACATCTCAGAACTTCTATTTTATTTCCTCCCTTCCCAAAAGCCCCCCAGCAACGTACATGCTCTCTGAAGATTACATGGAACAGACTCTTCTTAAATCTGCACAAAGTTGAAATCCTTTCTATATTTTGTATCCCCAATGTATTTTCTAGAAAACAATTTTTCCGTAAGGATACTATGACTAGTATAGGAATAGTTACACAAAGTATGCAAGTAACTTTTGTACAGAGTAAAAAAATTTATGATGACCCATTCCTATCAGGTAACAGATTTTTCATCTGTATTTCCTTTTGGCAATCTTTTACAGAACATCTGAAAACAGTCAATACTGCTTTTTGGACAAGGTTAACAAGTCCATTATTTTAGGTATTTGATTACAGATGATGCCATGTTCCAGAGTAGATACGTGTGATCAAACTGCTGGTACATAACCACAGCATAAACCAAGATTTAGCTCATCTGAACAGGACTTCTGCTAAGTGCTACATAAGGGAGATGTGGAATTCTTTCTTACCTTTCTTGGTAACTTTGTGTAGCGAATGTAATCTTCCAGGAACATGAGGGAACCCACTACATCAGCAGGCATTTCTGGTATCTTCTGGCTAAAATCAAAACCACCATGAAGATCATACTCCTACTAGCCAATCAGTTATCTGGATAAAATTACATGAAAATGCCAGCCTTCAAATAACAGCGTTTCCACTAGGTACCATGTTATTCCATTACAAAAAGAAATAGTGTTTTAATCTTATATTAGTCAAATATATTATTATTATGTCAAACATACTCTGCTAGAAAAACATAATGATAAAGCAGTGATAATACTACTGAGGCCCTTTTCACTTTTACTTAGAGAAAAAGTAAAACATGGATACCTTGTGCACTGTTCCATTGTTGAACGAATAAACTGACCGATGAGAGCCAGAAATTGTTCTGTGTATCTTGAGTGAAACTGTTTCAACAGGGTAAGGAGTCCCAGAACTAAAGGAAGCCAGTCAATTTGATCAGCTGGCCGCTTGCACACCACTCCTGCACAGAAAAAAACCCAACCCAAACCAACACACGTTTATAAAACAGAACATATTCTTTATAGCAGAGGCAAACTTACATAATATACTCTCATGAGTTCTTTTGCTGTGCCTCCCCTTCTGCCTGCCCATGCATAACAATTAAAAACTAATAAACAACTGCATTTCTTCCATAGCAAATGGCTTAATGGTACTAAGGAACAGGATGGAATGAGCAAGGCAGGAGTTTGGACTCTGTTTCCTACTCCATTATATTTGGCTTCAATATTATAACAAACCTGCTTAGACATGATGGACTAAAGTCAGAAACCAAGTATTTTCTATGCAGATAATTTTACTATCTTCTCTACACTTAATTTCAAATAGGCTTTCATTAGATTGAGACAAACAACAACTTATACAATACCTAAATTTCTGTTGTACTGGAGTTTCGGGAACTGGGAAATGAGAAATAGGAAGTTGACAGTGGGAAAATATGGCAGACGTTTTGTTGTTATGTAGATCTGAGGGGGAGGAAAAAAAAAAAAAAAAGAGACACACAGTTCTTCCACATACTAATTTTTTTCTCAGTTAATAATCCATAAAATAGAAAAAGCAAACTGTACCAAGCACCGAAACGTAAGCCTGACCTTATTTAATGGGTTGTGAATGCCAGCTGCTTCTAAATAAGCTGTGATTTCATACAAGAGAGTGTTGTCTTCTTTAGGATAAGGTAGTGATGGGTTCTGATAATGTGCTTCAATGTCAGCCAGTATTGCTCTAAAAGGAAAATAAATTGATTATATTAAATACTTATTTAAACTATCCCCAAATAAACCTTACACGATGCCCCATGTCATATTAATGTAAAAACTTCAAAGACACAAAACCTGTAAATGGTGACAAGCAAGAATAAACCCTCTTTTTTGGAATATCTTTTTACAAACATCATATTTGTTTCAAAATCAGCACCACATATTTTCACTGTTCTTACTTCTCATCCAAATATGACCTCAAATCCAGGTATAACCAAATGCAATGTAGAAGCTGTGCTGTCCACTAGCATGTTCATACAAATTATTTGCCAAGTTATTTATTTTCAATGTTTCTGTTGGGTTCAAATTCAAGTACTTATCAACAGAAACCTTAATACAATCACACTCCACATTTTGCCATAATTTAGATTTTGAGGATTGCCAAGGTGATAACAATTACATCCCAGTGATACATGCAGCTATTCTGCATGTTTGGCTTCTTACTTGTTGAGATTTTCCAAGGCAGCCGCCAAATGCTTGGAGTCAAACCTGCAGGAATAATTTAATTCATTGGTAATCTGTCGTCTTAAAATCTGCATCTGACCAACCTGTTGAAACAAACAAATAAAGAAAAAAAGAGTGGGGTGTTATACTGAATGCAGTGAAGGAAGAATAACGTCAAACTAAGGAAAAACTTAATGAGTAACAATTTACAGTTAAATAGATTACACAAAGTCCTCATTACACCTAACAGCCTTTGTAGGGCTGCCCAAAGCAGGGACATACACAGTGGCTGAAGCGACTTCCTCATTGTGGTAACAGGGCACCGCTTCAGCCTGCCTGCAGTCAGAAGTGACAGACCCCAAGTGAGCAGTGCAGTCAAAGCAGAGTAGACACAGCACTCAAGATTTACACACAGTTCATGGCAGCAAATACAGGCAGTGTGCAGAGGGCACTAAAAAGGTAATGTATAAAACTCCAGTTACTTGCTTGTTTTTCATCAGTAAATGAAAATGCTTGCAGTCTTCTCCCCACCTGTCTCCAGACCTTAGGGTCAGCAATGGATAAAAACCATATGGATAAAAACCATATGATAAATGGTTGATTATTATAAACCATTATAAATTATGGATAAAAACCATGAGAGGCTTGTTGCAGTCAACCTTCCCCTTCCTTCCCTGACCTTCCCTCTTCCCTTCAGTAACATAAGCAAACATTCACGGCACTGTGAACACTGGTTGCAAAATATTACAGAGACAAGCTATGGGGTAGCTTGTTTAAATCTTCAGCGTGCTAGACTGCCCTCTGTGTGAACAAGGCAAGTTCAGGAAATGCTACCACTCCAAACTTTAGTCTTAGGTACATTATGTTCACACGGCACTGTGGGGAGTCTCAGAGCTCCTGATACTGAGAGCTAACTCAGTCTTCCCAGATCAGGTCTCTAGTGCCAGACTCCATTTTTGGCAAACTATTGCATATGAATCTCAGTGCTAAGCACTTTGTGGAGTGTGAGCTGTCTACACAAATGAAGCTCAGGAGCTCTTGCAAATCCAGGCCTGCTTTACTTGTGATGTTACAGAATTCCCAGGTCAATGTAATACAACATTGTAAAATAAGCAGATTAAACTATATAACCAAAGAGCCTAGAGTGAATTCTGCATATTACTAAGTCACATAAATCTACCTTCATTATGGAGTCTAAATATGCTGTCCAGATCTTCTGAGTTTTTGCAATTGCTGCGGAATAAACCTTGTTTGAATTTGCTGAGAAAAGAAAAAGAGCAAGGCATTAAAAAAAAAGAACAAGAAAGAAGAGAAATGCAAGTGTACAAAGACAATGGCTTTCTTCCATCTTAACCAGTACACACTTACCTATAATTCCTTTTAGAGGACTGACAGCATTCATAAGTGCTTTTAAGGTATCCTGTACTGTCCTGTCACGCAATATATTTTTCTGAAACATACTGAGGAAATTCTAAATAAAAGAAAAAAATAAGTAAAATCCTCACACATGTATTCTATGCTTAATTTTGGTGGTACAAGAGCCACATTTTTTAACAACAATGAAAGAACATTTCAACAGATGAAGAGTTGAGGAATTCTGTAGTTAGACTTTGTGCTTTTCTGAGTTCTGTTAATCAGTGTTAGGACAATTTGCAGATCCCCCTCATCAGTATGTAATACCCACTGTAGACAACTATTAATTCAATTTTTGAGGAAGAACTGTCTTCATCGATACTTATTTTCCTTAAAATCTTTAACCAGGCTAGGACTGGATTCTTTTCAGAAAACAAAAGAACTTGGTTTCACATACAGGTATTAGGGAAAAAGTCATTACATAGAATTGACACCTTATTTATATCATGGTAGACCCAAACAATCTAATTCTTTGTTGATATCTAGACAGAAAAATAGAAGTTGACCTGAGATCAACTTTTAAATATACACAAAGTGTACACCTTCAAAAGGCAGTCCTTGCAAACCACCGTATAATGTAACACGTTACCTGGTGTTACACAGCATCATTTATTCAAGAGTACCAACTTTCATAATTATATCTGTAACTGAAATTCTTACCTTTGGGTTTGAACACACATTTTTCAAATGCTTTTGAATTAAATTTACCATTTCAAAAATTAACAGATTTTTTTATTTCACCAGAAGTTATTAAACAATAAAACCATCATGACCTTGAGAAACCAAAGTTCAAAAATTACCTGCAGCTCCTTTACAATCATGAAACACAGGAGCCTGTCTAAACCATTGAGACCAAAGGTACCTAAAGTATCTTGGATCTCTGAGAAGAGACGACTATTGGTTACTTCCTGATGAGTTTTGACATCATACCAGGTGTTCATTTGGTCAATGTAACACGTGACTCTGAGGAAAAATGAAACAAACAACTACTTCAGAATAAGCTACAGACAGTTCCTGTGATAATCTGAGTAATGAGTTATCTTATTCAGGCAGAGATTAGAAGGACCCTCTAAGTATCTCAGGTGATGTTTAGTTACTCCTCTCTCCGCAAGGGTTCTGTCACCCTTCCCTGGTTTCTCTCTCCTCTGTTTGCTGTTTTCCTTCTTAGACTAAAATCACAACTTTTCTAGAGTAATATTTAAAATGTACAGGATGGATTGGGTAAATTTGTTTTTAGATAAAGATGGTGATATGACAGCTAAGGAAAAACTATTTGTTGTATATTTTGTTTGTATATGGTGGAATTGGAGCAATCCAAAGCATGGTGCTATAACACAAGCTTGTGACAGACAGTACTTACTTTGGGTCTGTGATCCTTAGGATTTCTCTACAAAGCCGACCAATAAATGTTACAGATTCATCCACAGGTGTGAATTTCGGTATAGGAATATGAGTAGACTGGTATATGCTTTGCCAGTCTTGAATCTGAAAAGTAAGTTTTAGAGTAATTTGCAGTGTTACCATTGCATGTTTTTAGTTTGCTTAGAAATTTTATTCCTTTTGTTTAATTTAAAAGTAGTACGCTGCAAAATGATCTTGTAAATTACACACAGGAGAACACTATAAAAACACAATAAAGCAAAGAGATGAATTGAGTCCTATGACAAAAAGCAAGCAGAAGGTAAGCGTGGAGGTTGAGAGAACTACCTACACTCCCAGTGAGAATTTCATCTGGTCTTTTCTCAGTAAGACAAGCCAACGTTTTGTTAGCTAAATTTAAGATCTATTCACTCCACCACTTGTTCAATATCACAAAAAGCGCTGGTAACTGCCGCAAACTTTCTAAGCTTGCATTCTCATAACTAACAGTAGATACAGAGAGAACTACTGTGATTCAGTAATTATTTTCTGTTTTCTTTGAGAATGAGAGGAAGGATATTGATCACTGGCAAGAGATATTAGAACATTCTGTACTTTGTTCTTCTTACGTACAACTAATGCAGTAGGGATGCTGAAATAATTCAGAAAATGCTAGGGGCAGATGTTTTACACAGTAGTTAGCACATGCAGTTGAAGGCACAATAGTATGGACTGTGCACAATGGGCTACATATGCTGCATCATTCACAAGCTTTCACATCCAAATATAAAGACATTTATCAACTTTTTACTGGTTCTTGTTTCTGATTAGCACCTTTGTTCTTAAGAAGTTATTGCATTCCTGTTCCACGTTGTAGTTAATAATACGAGACACTTCCTCTTGCCAAATTTTTAAACCATATATGTTGACATAATCCTGGATATATTCAAACGATCGATGGAACCCATCCATTGTAGCTGCCATTTCTTTCAATCTGGGCATCAGTTCACTTGGCTACAGATGAAAAAACAAACAGACAGACAAACCCCTGTGAACAGGTACAATACAAAGAAAACATAAAACGCTTCTAAATGCCTTTCCACAACAACCTCTAGAGGATTTCACTATGCTCCAGCCAGAACCGAAAAGCACTGAGAAATTTATCACAGGTTGTTTGGTATCTGAAGTAATTCTTACTAAGTATTTTTTCCTCCTGCTTCTAATGTTTATTTTAGGCTTCAGTGGTACTATTGATTCATCTGGGAGACTCAAGAATCTGGACAGGATCAAAGCAAGGAGTCACACTCCTTATTCTCTCATTGCCTTTCTATGTTTACCTGGCTTATACTTATGATGTCTTGTCATCAGTTGTCACAGACAAAGACAGAACTGTGAACTCAGAATTGATAGCAATAGAATATGGCAATAGAAAATGGCAATAGAATAAAAATATGTTTTGAATTATATGTACTGTTAGCAGTTTATAAACTCATTTTAACATCAAATAAGGTATTTCAAATAACCTTTAGGAAGTTCAAAAAAATGTACTTACTTACAGAAAGGAAATCTGCACAGAAAAGTACGAATTATTTTCTAGATGGTAGTATAATAAAAGAGGTCCCAGCAAACCCAAGATACATAAAAAAATCAAATCAAATCAAACTGTTACACACCTTGGCTCTAGGATTAAAGATGAGTCCCCTGTGAAGAGCTAAGGCTACCCGTTTTACCAGCTCCTTCCTTATTCCATCCTCCAGTAACTGTTTTGGGTCCACCTAAGTAGAAGAAACATTTTTTTCTTAAAGTCAGAAAGGTATAAAAAAAATATGAAGGATTTAGTTTGTACCAAGAAAGACATTAAATACTTATGATGAATTGGAAAGCACTGCTAACAGATGCACTTTCCTACTAGTGCTTGTCTAAAGAATAAATATTTAAATACTTCTACTAGATAATAAATGATTTCTTTAAGTTGAGTGGCAAAAGTTTGTAGTTCCCATATTCAACTTTTGTTCATGATCCATTAAGAATGTTGTACAATTAGAAAAAGTCAGTATGCATTAGGAAGTGTATATGTCTTCAAGAATACTTTCTCCTGAAAGAGGTATCTTAATGTAGGAAGTGCAGTCTTTGCCAATGGAAGAAACAGCTGTTCAGAAAAGCTTACCAGTAGGGAAAAAAGATCCAAAGATCATCAATTAAGGTTGATGAATCTATTTACAATGAGGACTGTGGGTTCCTAACAACCTTAAATAATAGGGTTCTTATCTGGACGCAAGTTAGGCATCACCGTTTGAAAATTTGTATGTGAACTTACTTTTTCTTGTCTTTTTCTCTTTCCTCAAGGTCTTGCTTAATGTGCTGAAATATCTGTGCTAAAGTGTTAATTGCCACCAAATTACCTTTTCCTACTGGAATAATGGAACATTACCTTGATGATACCAACTAAAGTAGTTTTCATCATGAGGATACCTTCAGTGAAGATTGAAATTGCGTGGGTTAGCTTGGCAACCTTTAACAGAAAGAGAAAATACAATTTACTGAAGTGATTCAATAGACTCAAATAATTACTCTAAAAAGATATACACCTTTCCCAGCGGTAGCTTCCTGTTTTAAAGTAGTTTGCACTGATATACTTTCAATTTTACATTTTGTTCTAGACTTACTTGTAGTACAATAACTATCTTTCTTAATTAGATAAATATAGGTGTGTTACCAGTAGGAAAGAACAGGTACCTCTCAGAGGCTTCACAGAGATTACGGGAAGAAAGACTTAGTCAGCTCTATGACATATGTACAAAATATCATGGACAAAAATCTAAACTGGTACCTTTGAGCAGGCTAGGGACACAGATTGAAGTAGTTATTCCGTAATAAAGCCTGCTGCCAGCAATGAGTCCACTTCAATATTTCCACTGATTTAATACCATAGCACATTCACCTAAGCTTTAAATTAGTAGTTGAGTGTCCTTATGCTCAGAGTTCAGACAAGCCAGTCTTTTGCCTTTTAAGACATTTACAATATAGAGACAACACAGTTCAGACTTACAGCTCTACAGAAATCAAAAGTCAAAAGCTTTTGTGTAAGATAAATAGTTTCCCCTTTACCTCCTCAAAATAAAAGAAATATTACTGAATACTGCCTCCTCCTCTATTCCTACCCGCACACAAAATAAACTGACTTTACAAACTTAAATGGGGGAGTCTAAACCTAGTGTTCGGGTCTGAACATCAGCTTAATCAGAGACCACTGCTTGCTTGTGTAAAACACCTAACAAGTGAGCACTTTGGCAAAAACTGCTGGAAAAAGTTGGCATCTTAACTGATAATTGGAGATATATTCTTAAAGAGTTATTGGTATACTCTGGTTTTTGCTCCTCATCTTCCTCTACTAAAAATAAAACCAAGTAACTTTAATGTTTTCTCACTCTTCCAGACTGATAACGGGGCAGGAAAAAACCCACAGACAAGAAGCCCATAAGAAATAGCAACTTTATCTGAACAAATCAATGTGCCTCCATCCTATCTTCACATTCGAGGGGAGCAAAAAGCTTAACCCTGATGGCTTATTCAGTCTTCAACCACCTTCTCCTGGAACAAGCATTCCAAATGCGGAGGGCTTCATGTTCAGAACTTCAGACTCGGGTTTTTAAGGATTCTCCTCCCCACCACCTCCAACAAATCCAAAACTCTTTACGCTCATTTATAAATATATTTCATTTTCCTCTCCTTTTCTACAAGATCAAAAGTTTCAACTTTTACAAATAGAGAGCAAAAGTTACTCATCTGTCCTCAGGAAACCTGAGGTATACTCACAGTAACACTAGTCAATTTTAATTCTTACTGAGTCAACAAATCCAACTTCACTGCTAAAGTATAACTCTGTGGAGCTTTATCTATTTAAACTTAGGATGAAGTTGGCCACCTATAAGGTATGCTTTTTCAGAATTCCCTATTATAACTGCACCTCATATCGTGGTCCAAGCTGAGCATAATCTCGTAGCTTGTCCTTATCAAGGCGAGTAGGCACTTCAATAATATCATGAGTCTGAAGCTTTATAATTTTGAGAAGAGATGTAAACATGCTTTCTGGAATTATCTGTAGAACCTTTGTAAATGAGACAAGAAAAAGACACAGTCAGTATATTCTATTTTAAAAAAAAAATCTTCAATTAAGTAATTAGAGAACAAGACAATTACGCCTCTTCAAATGCCTACCTTTCTTACGTAGGAGACCAACTCGCCAGAATAATACTGTGATACACTGAGAAGATCAGGACTATTTGCTTGATTGATGCGGAGAAGTGGCAAGTCAAGAGCAGAAGCAAGCTAGAAATAAGTTAATATTTTAACTTCATATGTCTGTTTTTCTAACATAAACTATATATTTGAATTCTCTTGCTTAGGTTCTTAACCTACAACCCAAAGCACTAGATTCTTCCTAAAGAGCAGTGTTACAACATCAGGTTTGCAATAGAAAAAAAATAAATTGTTAAACGTCACGAAAGTCCAACAGTCTATAAGGTTACATTCCCCTTATTCTTTTTAAATCTTAATAGTTGCATGAGATGTTTTTTCATTGTAATTTTACACTCTCCCTCATGCTATTTCCCATTCTTATTTCTACAGAAAATATTTTCATCTTATGCCTGATCTTCATCATGACAGACAACGGGCATAGCCAACGTAACTTCTGTAATTCCTTCAGCCTCCTCTGATACATATGCAGAGGATCCCATCTATGCACCAATGTCTCCAGCAAGTAACTGTAATGGGTAGAGGCTGGATGATGAGACCTATTTGCCTAAGAGCAGTAATATAACTGGTTGCATAAAAAAACATGCATAACTTGTTTTTTTCTTTATAAGTAACCCTAACCTTGAATTACTTTAATACAGTTTAAAAAATCTGGTTATAGAAAATGTTGGTAAGAGGAAGTTTTGGCTCTTTTGTGACTTCACAGCCTTAAGACCTATTTAACAAAAGGTTTGGTTGACCTGCAGCATTCAAGTACACTCACTGTTGTTCATACTTACTTTTAGGAACGTGGCTCTGAGTTTAGTTACCATAGATGGACTAACTCTTATGCTTTCCTGCATAATAGATGTAAAGCTAGGGTAGGAAACAAACAAAACAAATCAGCTTCTTCCCCTGAAACTCTTTATTTTCAACTGATAAATCATATGTCACCAGCACCAGTCTGATCTAGAAATGGCACAGGAGATCACTAAAGAACTATGCTAAAGAAAGACTTTGGCCTGAGGAGATATTGGTTAGAAAAACCTGTATGATAAAGGAGTAGGTGGGAAAAAAGCAGAGGACATCAGGGAGCTTTAATAACCAAGGCAATGAAGAAGCAGCTCAGCAAAATCATACCATGGAAAAGGAGTTCTCTAACATTTGTCTTTCCTTGTTTGTTTTTGGTTGAAATAGAAACTCCAGTATTTTCGAGAACACTTAACTAGACTAAATGCTGGAGACAGAAGCTTAACAAAATTGTTACAGTTAGAACAGGATAGACAATAAAAAGTTACAGTATCACTTAACCCACAGCTAACAACATGACAAGGATGGCTGTTAATTCTTATTCAAGTTGTTGAGAGCTAAATATACTCAACCACTCACAGAACAAGGCTTCAACACTGTTTTTAAATTGGAAAGTTCATAATATTTATAATATTTATGCATGTTATTTCCCACAAGTTTCACAAATGATGACTGACTTGGAAAAAAAAGCTCGTGCTAAGATACCTGTCAATTAATTGCCAAGCATAAGAAAGATCACCAACTATCTGCATGGTGATCAAGACCTCTTCTTTAATGTTGATAGTTCGGATCATCTGATGGAGAAATTTGCGGGTGTCAGCCAGAAACTGGCAAACTTGCAGGTTAGTTTCCAGCTGGTGAAACTCTTGGACCTATATTTAAAAAACAAACAAACAAACCAACCCCATAAAACAACTTTTTTTTTTTTTTTTCCCTGTTCATCTTTAAGGACAGCAATACAAATAGAATCATTTAACTAACATGTTTCTTCAGGATGTTATTACAGTAAGACACTGAACAAATCCTGGCCTACTTTAGAGTGCATTAAATAATAAATTTCACAGTTACTCGAGGAGGTGTACTGTAAAACACCATACTGAGTATTCTTTTTATACCCTGGAAGCAGAAGAAATGTACACAAAACAAATATGGATATTTTTATTCTGCCTTTCAAGGTGCTCTCTCCAGCTTCAAATGAATTTATTTTCAGAAGTTCTAATAAAATGAGTAATGTCATCAAATAATGTTTAACACCGAATTAATTTATTCGAAAAACCCTACTAACCCTCAGCTACAGGTGGCATGATTTTTCACGCTATAGCCCTTATTTTACAATCACAAGGTCTGTAAGCAAGTCCTGCTTACTATATATATAAAACTGCAAAGATCTAAAGACTTCAACAATTGTTAAAATGCAGATCTGTTTTGTAACTCATCTATTGGAAGTCAGTGCACGTGTATCAAATGCTGTTTTTCAAAAAGACAAGGTCATTTATCTCAAAATTTCTTTGCCATACCTCCTCCAATGCCTGTATTAGCTGCACAGTTTTTCTGCCTGCTGCAGTGGAATCATCGTAGTTTAGAGACATTATTTGCTTGGAGATTTCTCTGAACCAAGCCTGAAGGTTTTCTGTGTAAGTACAAGAAAAATTTAATCAAATCCTTGCATGTATGATAAGCAACAAAGACACAGGGAACTTGCTAGTCAATACAAACAAAGTATATAACAAGCTATACATGTAGGAGATTATTTTAAAAGTTTCTGTCTTATTCTTACATTTCTAGTCTTTCGACATGTTGACTTGTAAAGTGGCAAACGCTCAGGTAAGTTTCACATACAACATTAAAACAACCAACTACCAAAACAAATGGACATTATAAAATCTATACAAAGATGATAAAGCCCTTCAAATCGTAAATCTGTGTTTTAAAATGTTTTAAAATGTTAATTGCCTTGGCAGCTGCAATTTCTATGTTTTAGCTACATGTTTGCTGACATCAAAAAGATACAGGGACATACTTCAGTAAGGTAATTCTGCTTTTAAGTGGAATCGAGTAAGAAAATTGCCTGCATTCTAAGCCTTGTTGTTGTGGATTGATCACAAACATTGCCCTGACATTGACACTTATGCATATCAGTGTTCTGATCAAATGAAAGAGTGATTTACAATTCTTATTCTTACACCAGTTCAAGGAAAAAAAAAAAGATGTTTCAAAAAACAGAGGAAGAAATTTGGAAATAAATACAGATTCAACACTTTTAAGTCCTTGGAGAACTTGGAGAATACCACTCAGTGTAGAAGAGAAGTAAAAGAAGGTTTGAAAAAATGCTGATAGAACTGAAATCTGGGTTACAACTTTAATGAGAGGAGAAGTTAAACCATCCCCATATTTAATGGGCATGATCTTCGCACTGCTTTGTACATAGAACACAGTAACATGAACTCCATTACACACAGAAAAGTGAGCTAGCATTTCATAGTCTTACCTGGCCTATCTAAATAAAGTGATAAAAAATGTTTTTAAAAATATGGCCATGTAAATATTAGGTACCTAAATACGGCTCACATATGGAATATATGCAGGAAACCTAAACAAGACAGCATGTAAGAGACCTCTGTGGCAGCTAAGGGACATGACAGTTTTCCCTATTATCAGTATTAGCCTCATGTATTTTCTTTTGGTATCAGCTTAGAAATAAAAAACAAAATTACTTTTTTCCCCCCACAGTTTAGTTTTTAAGAATTACCATTTTTCTCCACTCTAGTAAGAGGTTTAACTCCTGAGAAGACGTCAGCAAGCTCAGTCATCCTTTCAGATCCCTCTTTTTTATAGTTCTCCCATTTTGTTTGTTTTTCTGACAGCATCTGCTTGAACATCTATTGAAAAACAAAGCATTTGGTTTAGAAAACTGGCAAGAAGGCATACTACAATAGATGAAATAAAATAGTGAAAACAGATGGAACTGACTTACAGTGATTACTATGTAACTTCAAGATCTTGCCGGAATATTAAATAAAAAATTAAAAATATTAAGAAATACAGTCAGTGTGATGGCAGATATTTACCGAATTTAAAAAAAACAGCATGATGCAGATATTGTTGATTTTCAGTCACTTGTAAAAATATCTAGTAACTTTTTAAACTTAGAGATCCTAGAAGACTCTGGTCTACTGTGACTTATACTTCACATAGTCATTTCAGCGTATGCACAGAAACCTAATTCAAAAAAGCATGTATGTGAAGTTAAGCATACCCTTAAATATTCTACCAGGTTAGTATGAGAGCATTAATGGGGAATCTTTTAGACATGGCAGAACTTCATATATAGGTGTAGGAGTTTTCTTATCAGCTTATCCTCAATATACATAGGCTTTCATCTCTGTTTAAAAGCCTGAAAAAGAGAAGTATGGCAGGATAAAAACTTATGCAGCTTCCTCAACAGATTTTACTATGCCTGTTATCAAGATGTTCATGCAAAATTCTGAGTAAATATAAATAGGCTGGGTAAGAATGAAAACCGCCAATTATTGACAAGACTGCAAAAGTCACTTCCAAGCAACAGTAATTTGTAATCTTCTACAGAAAGCTCACATTTAACATAAAGAATGATTATTTTCATTTGTAAGTGGACTGTGTGGTAAACGTACTACTACTATTCAAGCCTTCAGCTCTGTTCTGCCATTCAGGGGAAAACGCTGAAGAAGGCAGCAGCACATTACCTCTTTCAAAATGAATTCAAATTGAGCCGTATCCAGAAGAAGCTGGAAAAGGATCCTGGGATTGTACCTTGAATCTGCTAGAATTTGATCCTTTATCTGGCGGAGACGTTTGTTATTTGGATCACAAGCTGAAAACGGAAAGACAACATTTCTCCGCTGTTACAGAATTTGGCCAAGCTTTTCAATCTTTGTAAATAGGCTCTTTTTTAATAGCCTGAAAGCAAAAACATATTGCTGTGATATGTAACTCCCCACTTGTTCTCCATTTACGTGAGTCTCACTACCCTTGTACAACCCCTTCCTTAGAATAGGAAATAATTAAGGTTTCTGAGGTGTTTCAGCCTTCTTCAAACTCTTCTGTGGACTTCTGCAAACTACATGTGAATTTAGTCTACCTGACTGAGAAGTCCAGAGATCAACATTTCTAAAAACGATACAGAAAAGGCATGGAGGTGTAACAGAAGCTCTCACATACCAAGAAGCCTCAAAGACAGCACAAACATTCAACCAAGAGAATTTCTAAACAGGTAAGTTTACAGACCCAAACTCACATCAGACATTATTCAACAGTTTCAGTTGAATTTCAGTTCAACAGAATAAAAACTTTGGTTTTAAACTATTAATTGCTGCAATATTAAGAAGTCGGCTACTGCTTTCCTTTTAGCACTAGGTAAAACTTTCAGAATGATGCTTTAAGTGATATGCCATCCAGAGGGACCTTGGCAGG